GTTCTCTCCTGTACAGGTGTGATACCACACACGCTACACAAAAGCCTGGGAACATTACAATTGAGTAGAAATACATACATCACACTACAGAAGGCCACTATATTGAATACATGCCATATTGTTAGGAAATTTCTTAATACAGACACTGACACACACATTTAATTTTAGTTTTGTTTTGGTTGCTATGCCTTGACTCTTGTCTGGCATAGTACACAGCCACCAGTGTGTACCGAGTATAACCCACCAAACCCAACACATAATAATAATAATCATTCAAAAGCTCTAAAAAATTTATCTTATTGCAAAAAGTTTGTTCATTTTTTGAAATAATTTCTCAAAAAGTTGCATTAACATTATCATTGTAAAGAAATTTTTTGTTTTGGATATCAAAAATTCTGTTATCATCCAGATCCTGTGCTAAAAATAGTCATTTGTGGTGCTTCTGATGACTTCTGGTTTATTCGTAATAATCAATGTATTACATCTATTTTGTCAATCTGAAACTGTGTCGTAATTCTTATTTGTTGCTTAAACACTATGTAGTGTAATTAATCTATCACTTCGCATTTCTTCATCTGGATCATTTGGAAATAAAAAGATGAAGGAATGCTAAGTGATCTATTAATTACACTACATAGTGTTTAAGCAACAACAAGTATTACAACATGTATTACATCAAGTTTATAATTGAAGGTGCTATATTATTATAATGACATATGCTTAGTGTTCTTTTAATTAAAAATTTTTTACATTTATTTGTTTAGTGTTGGGAATCAAATTATATGATAGGCTGTTTAATTTGTATAATTCAATTTGAATTTTCTAAATTATTTAGTAGTAATTAATTTATTTGTAAGTTGTTTTATTTTATGTGCTAGTGTACAAAAATTTTTGGAGGAAATTTTGGTCCTGAAAATATTCTGCACCTCTGATATCATAGTGATGTGATTGCTTTATGTGCTTGCTAATATTATAAATGAAATTCAGAACTTGGCACTATGGAGGGAAGATGAAAAATGATAAAATTAGGGAAATGTGTTGCATGTGCAACACATTTCCCTAATTTTATCACATGATTTCACACTAATTTTAACACATGATTAATTTGTGTGTGCAATTTTGAATTGTTAAGAAATACTGTGTGTGTGTGTGTGTGTGTGTGTGTGTGTGTATACACATACTATCAGTAAATCTGCTAATTGTAATATGGATTAGTACAGTAGGTGTAATAGCTACATGTTCAAAATATACATTGAAATTCCATAATCATGTTTTTTACTTAGATGTTTTTTTTCTTGAAGCACAAACAACTGAAAATCTTAACATATTTAAAAGAATCAAATTTATTTTAACATGGATAATTATCTGTTTCATTAAATGAAATGAAAAACTAAAATATATAATGATATTTTCTTATCTTATAATATAATCTTTGTTGTGTTGGTTATTTATAATACTCATTTACTTAGATTTGAAATAATAATATAACTTTAGGATTTTAGAATTTTGGCTTTGTCATTTGGCTATTTAACCTAACCTAAATTAACCTACTTGTCTTTTTTCATGCTGCCTTTTCTTCTGAACCTTCTTGTCATGGCTGTGAATCAGTGGGGCTATTCATCTTAAAGATAGTAATTCTTGTATGAAAATGGGGTGGGTACTTTTTATCTTTGTTCTCTTTTTAATAGCAACGGCATTGTGTCATTTCTATAGAAATTATATTTAAATGAAATTAATAACATTTCTTATATGTTGATAAATTTAGAAATATAGTTGATTAAATGACCCATACTAAAATACTAAAGAAAATTTACTTTTATACAGTTGACCCCCCCTATAACACGGTAGATACGTTCCGGTTTTTATGAATCCATTTTCTACGAGTCCTTAAATACATGATCCAATCACAGCCTGGCACGTATGCAGTTTACGGACTATGGCTGTTTGAAAGATTTCTTCCATAAAATTAGTCAATTCTAGACTAATTCAACTCAACATTTCCAAAATACATATAATTTTTTGGGAATAATCCATATAAACTATGCTATAAACAAAAAATTGTAGGATTACTTACCGAGTGTGCACCGTTCGACGACGCCATTGCTTAAGCTTGTTTTCGTCGCGGAGCAGCGCATTGAACGGCGGGTGCGTTTTCTGATAAGTTATTTTTCTTTGAAAAATTTGTTGAACTTTGGAGACATCAGTAATAGAAGTAATTTTTATGGCCGTTGAATAAGAAATGTTTTTTCACAAGAAATGTATAAAATTACAGTACTGTATTAGACTTACAGTACCTAATTTATATACTGTACAGATGATAGTAAACTCAACTTACTCGCCTAAACTCTCCGTAGCGTGCAAGTAGTTTGGCTGCTCATCCATTATTGGTCCGGATTCGAACAATCCTGTTGTGACATGAGTCGGCGATGATGTTTTACCGCATTTTATGAGTTTCTTTTAGCGTCTTTATACAAATACGGTTGCAATTTTTTTGCCATAATATACGAATTCGCATTACATGAACCTGCGTTATAGGGGGAGTCGACTGTACTTAAGCTGAACTCTAGCCTGGGGGATAATTGAGAAAGTAGGAGTGGACTAGAGGAGTGATCTATGAATTTAAGTGAGTCACATATGTTTAGATTAATGGAGACTGTTTTCTGGAATGTCTGGATTTTTTTTTCAAAATAATGAATGCTTCCATCAAAAGAAAAGCCTTTAAATAGACAGACTTACAAAATAGAATGCAATGTGCATAGATTTAGGAATGAACAACAAAAAAATTTGTTGCTTTTTGATGACAGTATATTGATGATTAGGATAGAGAACTAATGTTGAAATTTAGATATGTTCCTTTTAATTCACAGTTTAAACCAGTGTTTCTCAACCTATAACGAATCATCTTATGTAGTTATAACGAATCATGTCATCAATTATGCAGTATAACGAATCATCAACGTAGTTACTTCAATAACACCGTTATGTAGTATTGCCCCTTCACTACAAAATTCCGATGCCGAGGGACAAGGCTAACACCAAATTTGTACTGCATTGAATAGACTAGTGACTATATAATGTTATTTGTTTAATTATTGTACAATATAACTAATAAAATATCTAATTATTCTTAATATAATGTTTTACTATATCACCCAGAAAATTGTTTTTTGTCCCCAAAATATAAATTATTACAAATCGCCCCCTGAACATGGAAAAACGCCCACACGGGGCAATATCACCCCCATTGAGAAACACTGGTTTAAACACTCGAGTAGATTTAGAAGCATTGATATTGCGGCTGCCATTTTCTTAACGAAGTGAACTAACTCTTTCCTTCATGAACTTCGTTAGAGTTTCGTTCAAAATGTCATCACTGCAGGGCATGCGCACTGAGCGAGACTACTACTTTTAGAATGATTCATTACTAATGCATTTAAATCGTTCGACTTTACAAATGTACCCTTTGTAGTAAATATATATTGATATTTCATATTTTTTATCATATATAAATAATTCAATTTGTATATTGTTTTCAAATTGTATATTGATATGAATACTAGAAATTATTTATATTCCATCCTCATTTATATAGATTTTATCAAATTCAATTTTTACTGTTTCAGATATACTTTGTCTAATTCAATAATTTTTTATTACTATATCCGTATTGTATATATTTGATATATATATATATATCAAATATATACAANTGAGTATATATAATATATATATATTTATTTATTTATGAATGTGTATAAGTTGTGTATGTTTTTGTCAACTATAAAATTTTTATTTAGATTTTGAAACCCGTTTTAATACCAACTTTCACAAGATACAAGAATTTCCTCTTCCTCAATATCAACAGACTTTTTGTAAATTATATATAAGTCAAGGTTTGTATTTTTCATGTTTTAATAATTATTTGATAAATACTAAAAATCAAGTATTTAGCATGTTGATAGAAAGAAAAGTTTAATAGTAATAAAATACAATAAAACTTGTTAAAAAATAGACTCTTGATTTAGTAACAGCAAGCATGAGATCAGTTGATATGAGAGATCTTTTCACAGTTGTTCATTTCTTTGTACTCAAGGCAAGGGTGTTTAATCTTTGAAGACTATTTTCATCTGATAATTATCAGAATAGTTTTAGTCTTATATCCACTAATTGTATAAAATAGGTTCATCTTCAAATGAATTCTGTTGCATAAAATTCCAAATAAAGAATTATACATCTATTTAATTCTGAAAACCTTTTCATAATAGCAGCTTTTAGGTTTTAATATATTGTTTTCCTAGAATCTGTCATATCACTCAAGTCATGACTTTTCTCCATTGTTGAGAAAAATGCATTTCCAACATATTTAGCTTTGTTGTAAATGGCTTTACAATAAAGTCTTGATTTTCCCATTTTAGTTTTCTGCAGAAAATAGATGATGAGCAATTGACTCTTGAACCTGCCATTAGATATTATTGACATTAAAAACACTTAGAACATTATTAACATTATTTATTCTAATAAGACTAAAAAGATAAAATATTTTAGCATGTATTATATATTTAATTAATAGTATTTGATTAATGGTGTTGTCATATTTAATTTCTATTTAAGACCTTACATAATACAGGCTGTAGTTTTGATGGCATGGATTAAAGTATTCTCATTATAAAAAATATACCATCAATAATATAACCAGCTGTATAACCATGTGGGATGCCAAGAACAAATTTTCATAGATTTTCATTCTATGACAAGTGCACAAATAACACAGAAACCTTGTGACATACAGAAATAACAGGAAAATATTTGACAGCATCATGAATTCATGGTTATTGTATACAATACATCTAACACTTCTTACATTTTTAAGAAAATCAGAGAAAACTGAAAAACAACACTGTATCTCAGACTTTGGAATATACATGCAGGGCCGGCCATCGGGGGGTGCGGCGGATGCTGTGCACCGGGGCCCCGCGATTGAGGGGGCCCTAACATTGTCAAGAATGCACAAGAAAACTCGACAATATTCCTATCGTTGTCAGTATGTAACGTTGGTTACGACATTAAAAGATTTGTGTGTGTGTGTGTGTGTCAGTATGACGAAAAGTACATTTTATCGTAAACATTATTATTGTAATCTCTAAATTTCGGCAATCTTCAAACTAATTCTCGGTGATGCGAATGTTTAGTTTTTGTTATTTGATTCAGGAAACTCCCGAGGATCCCACCTAAATTCGACTTTAAAAGAAAAAAATCTCAATACCATATAGCCCGCGTTAAGAAATGAAAATAATACTGTGGCCATATAAAATTATATGTATATTTGCATATAGTCGTAGTTTTAAGTAAATAGATTCTGTTCTAATGTATCATATAAACAGAATAAAAAATTCGAAAAATAGAATTGTGCATCATTTAGCACATAGATCACAAGAACAAATTATTTCCGCGTTAGGAGATGAAGTCCTTAACAAAATTAAAGACGATATAAAAGCAGCCACATACTATAGTATCCAAATGGATTGTACTCCTGATATTTCCCATAAGGAACAAACTTCAATTATTATTAGGTATGTAAATTTTGAAGAGAAAAGATTAATTATAAATGAGTCATTTATAAAGTTTATTGAAGCAACTGATGTGACTGAAGAAGGACTAGCAAAAAGTCTATTGAAAACATTACGTGAGCTTGATTTAGATATTATGAATTGTAGAGGGCAGGGATACAGGGCTACGACAACGGTAGCAACATGAAAGGGAAATATAAAGGTGTACTGTACAATCTAGAATAATTGCTCCAAACCCTCATGCAATATATGTGCCTTGCCTATCATACTCTTTTAATTTATTAATTTGTGATGCAGTATATATTGTAAAAATTTTTTTGGGATATTGCAATGTTTATATTGCTTATTTTCTGCATCTACAAAGAGATGGGAAATTCTACAAAAGCATTTAAACACTACTCTTAAACCATTATGTGACACTCGTTGAGAAGCCAAAATAGATTCGGTTAAAGCAGTGTATATGTTACTGTGAAAGACCGAAATTAGAGAATGTCGATATTCTCCGGTAAATGTCGACACGAATGAAGAATTCTATTTATTGGA